AGTTTCAGCACATGCCCCTGAAAAGGTCTGTGCACGGCCCTGAACCTTACCAATAATTTATTCCTAAAAACAATGTGAAATGATAGCTGATTAACAAGGGTATAGAAGAAGCACCTAACCCTGATAGTAAGCCTAAAACAGATATTTCCTGAAAAGTTATCCCTCTGTTCTGATTGGTTGATTGGAATGTTGTTCCAGGATCAACAAGGATGTTGATCCAGGAACATGTTGTACTTGGTGAAATCACGCTCACCTTAGAATAGAGAGCGCTAGTTAGAGGGTCAAATGAAGATGAAAGAGATGTGTTTTCAGCCGTTTCTTGAAAATGATTAAGGACTCAGCTGCTTGGATTGAGTTGGGCAGGTCATTCCACCAGGAGGGAACCGTTCATGTAAAAGTTCATGAACGTTTTATCATAGGTAGAATGCAAAATGTTTCAATACAAGCATTTCAGTCAAATGCAATTTATGCAATATTTCAAACCTTTAGCCCACTTGCGAAAATCAACCCATGGTAACAGTTTAAAAGTAGCCCAATTCTGTGGAAAAAACGCGGACTTGACAACCCTGCATCCAACAAGAGCTGCAGGAGTCAAATTTGTCTGATCTCAGGTCCAGAATAAGGAGAGATGACTGACAAGACCATGCTGGAGTATTTGCTGCTCAACAGATCCTGAACTCACTGACAAATATCTGATCTTGTAAGATGCGCTCCCTTTACACAGAGTGCGTGTGATCGCGAAATCGAATGTGAAAGTGAACAGCGCAAACGCTCATTGAAAAGAGATTTAGATACTCCGCATACTGAGAGCGGCTCCCCGATGCGCTAAAATGATATACAATATTAGAATGTTTAAAGGAGTGGACACAAAAATCGCGGGAGCGAAACACATGTTGCTGGAGCAAACGGCAATGCAGTAGGGGTTCAATCTTCAACTGGCTGGCAGGAGCCGCCACTGACAGGTCATGTGACCTGCCAGTGGCTGGTGGCAGCTGCCAGTCTGATTCTGGCAGGTCACGTGACGCTGTAGATCTGCGAGTAGAATGCCTACCCTATCTCTCGCCCTGCAAGGAAATACACTATTTTATTATTAATATATTTTTATGACTCTTGACCTTTTAGGTTTTTTTCCCCAACTAAAGCAGTCAAATGAACGTGATCACGGCTGGTTGCTTACTGACGCTTTGTTAGCCAGCCTCTGCTGCCTCTCATTCCAAGGAAATCATTCTGATTTTATTTTTGTTATTTCTACATTGTTTTTGTAAACAACTTTGAGTCAATTAATATATTATTTGCGTTCATGTCCTCCTATAACAGTTTCCTCCAGTCAGACTTTTTAAGCTATGAGTATGCCTATGCATTCCCCACCACTCCTATTGCAAGGAAATGCATAATTTTATTATTGTGAATATGTTCTTTTGAACGTATTTTTAATATAATATAGGTTTAAGGAGGTTTAATTAGTAGTCTAAAATTATTTTATTATTATGTATAGGCTATATTCATATGAATCTATCATTTTATATGTTATACGTTTTAGGGAGGTTTATCCAGATTAAAGTGGTCAAATAACTGTTATCCCAACTGGTGGGTTACTGACACTTTAGTCCAGCCAGCCGCTATGCAGCTGCCAGTATACGTTCTTCTCTACCACTCTCTCTGCAAGGAAATATATTATTTTATGATT